CTTCCGCAATCATTTTCCGCACCATGTGATTTCAACCTGACACTCAAGTTAACTATCAAGTTGAGATTAACTCTCAACATTCAAGTCATCAATAACACTCAAGTTGAGAGTTACACTCAGGTTGAGCGTCCAAAATAATCATTAATTGAGTGTTACTTTGAGTGTATTTTTTCAATGTTTTTTAAAGTGTAAACACTTAAATTTTAAGAGTTTTTTCCGTAATGGTATGACACGCAATAAATGAGCATAAACCCTGAACTTTTGAGTGTCTTCAAAATTAAGTATATGAACTTAACAGTTATTTGAGTTTTAATTTCCATGATTAACAATAATATCAAGAATATAAAAGGGCAAATTAGAGTCAAGTTCGAATATAATATATGTGTAACACGTTAAAAATTTTTTTACATTCCAATAAATTGATATAAAAATATAAATATAATTTTAAAAACTTAATGTTACATTGTGTTACATTACATGTGTCGGCATCATAATTGTGCCATCATCAGATACTTAGAATTCGCAGAATAGAAACGCATTAAGAAAGTCAATGGCCTAGTTTAAACCCAACGACCTGACCTATCCCTTACGGAAAAAACTCTGAAAATTTCGGTGTTGATACTCAAATTTTAGTGTAAACCCCAAATTTTGCGAGATTAGTCTGAAATTTGTGTGTTTATACTTAAATTGTGAGAGTTCATACTCAAACATTGAGTATACACACTCGAAGATTGAGCGTTTACAACGTTCACACTCCTGTTTGAGTTTACACACTAAACATCTAAAGGTTACCCTCAACACTTCGGTATCCTTAAGGAAAAAACTCTTAAAAGTTGAGTGTTTACACTTTAAAAAACGCTGAAAAAATACACTCAAGGTAACACTCAATTAATGACTATTTTGAACGATCAACTTGAGTATAACTCTCAACTTGAGTGTTATTAATGACTTGAATGTTGAGTGTTAATCTGAACTTGGTAGTTAACTTGAGCGTCAGGGTGAAATTACACGGTGCGGAAAATGATTGCGGAACAAAGAATGCGTCATTCAGCGGACTCAACAGTCGAGTGAGCACTCGCTGTTATTGGTATATTCTTCCAGATCTAAAATTCTGATTGGATGAGCTAAAAGAATATACCAATAACAGCGAACATAGCATTCGCCCTCACCTGTTGAGTCCGCTGAATGTGCCCATTGAAACAACAATTAGCGCTATTCGGAATAACGCAGAATAAAGCTGATTGGTTGCTTTTGTGACATATTTTCTTTTCCGCACCGTGTGATTTCACCCTTAGACCCTACGTACAATGGAGGAACTATTATTATAGGAATAGAAATAAATATTAGAATTTCAAAACAAATAAAAATTTCAAAACAAATAAAAATTTCAGAACAAATATTAAATTGTAAACGCCATTATTTTTAAGTACTCAAATATTTGCGGCATTTACATTCAATATTTTGGCATTTCTCTTAATCATGGAAAGTAAAACTCAAATAACTGTTAAGTTTATATACTCAATTTTGAAGACACTCAAAGGTTTAGGGTTGATGCTCATTTATTGCGTGTCATTCCCAAGTGTTGAGGGTAACTTTTAGATGTTTAGTGTGTAAACTCAAACTTGAGTATGAACGTTGTGAACGCTCAATCTTTGAGTGTATATACTCAATGTTAGAGTGTAAACACTCAAAATTTAAGTGTAAACACAAATTTCAGAGTAAACTCCCAAAATTAAGGTTTACACTCAAATTTGAGTATAAACACTGAAATTTTCAAAGTTTTTTCCGTAAGGGTTTATTTCTACTATTATGTAATTAAAAATTATCTTATACCCTTTCTTGCTTACATAATGACTTTCCACGCTTCGCGTGGGGATAGGATGGGAGGTGGGGTGGGAGTCGCTTCGCGTGGAAGTCGTGCGCCCCCAAGCAGGGGAGAAGTGGGATTGGAGTTGCTTTGCGTGGAAATCGTGCGTCCCTAAGCAGAATTAAAACGTTATTTCTTCAAACTTTTTTTGTTAATAACTTTTTAACAAATAACGAACGACGGTTAAAACTTGTTGAAGATTGCTCAGGGTCATGACCTTGACAACACATGTCAAGGTCAAGATCGTCGGCGGTTGCTCCTTTTTTCTGCAGTTTTACCCTGCGTTTTGTTACTATGTTTTTACTTCGTTTTTTGAATATCTGAAGATAGCATAATCATAATACTAAAACATGTAATGTAATATTACCAAATATCTTATAGTCAGTAATTAAGAATGTACAGATTTTAAACGATTCACATTATATATTGTATATCAATTGTTCAAATTTGACTCTTATATTCTTTCCTACTTTCTTGATATTATTGCTAATTAAAAGCTTTGCATGTGACAATCAAGGTAATGACGTGGGAATTTCGATAAAAGTTATCTATTCTGATTCAAGTAATAATATGAAGGTTTCTTCATCCCAATATATCCAATATATCATATATTTATAATAGTTTTAATTCCTCTTCAAAAATTATTACGTGAAAATTATTGTCACAAAATTTACTTAACCCTAGTGATATGTATCACTTGTAAAAAAGATTTACATTGACTGATGCCACAAGTTAAATTCTACTGCCTTCTTATTCAGCCGTATTATACAGCCTCCTAAAAAAAGTAATATCTAGTAACTTTAATCTTTAAAAATATTTTTATTAAATACAGATGACCTTTGTCGTGATATTTAATTTGATATTTTTATATATCCTGTTATAAGATGATGGGGTTGGTGCTGGAATGTTTTAAATCTAAAGATTTACTTAACTCTAGTGATATGTATCATTTATCATTTATATAAAAGTTTGATATTAGCAAATGGCGCCAAATTAAATTCTGCTAATGCAATGTTAATTTATTATTACTAGTATACAGATGACCATCGTCGTGACATTTATTATTAATAAACCCAAAAAGAAAGTCATAGTAACTTTAATATCATATAAACTTAACTTTTTTAAAAAAAGGTAAAGAAAGCACTAAAAGGTAAAGAGTGCGAAAAGGTAAAGAGTGCGTTTCGAAAAGAAGCATTTATATATTTGTATTTGTAAAATCTAAATGATGCTTATTGAAAAAAAAACTGCTGTACCAAATTAAAAAATAAAACTCAAGTGGTACTCAATATCTGTAGTAACTATTAGCACAACAGAAATACAAACAATTTTATTACATAATAATTTATGAGTCTGAGAAGAAAACTGTTAAAAGCTACCCCCCTCTCACCTACAATAAATACAATCAATGTTTTTAATTTAATTAAGCGTGACGTTTTAAAAAAAAAGTACGTACAATAAATATAATCAATGTTTTTAATTTAATTAAGTAGCGTATTTGTGTAAAGTTGTTACAATATATCAGGCAGATAAAAAATTTCGCTGTTGAGCAACCTTATGAACATGCTCTCTATTACCTTCGAATCCTATTAACACAATCGCAGCTTGGCCCAAGAAAAAATTATTAGAAGTTACTGCTTTGCAAGCGTAAAATCAGGTGGAGCTATATTTTCGGCTCCTTAAAACGCGAAAAATCGCATATGTGAGCAGTGGGCGCAGATGGGATTGAACCCGGATCTACAGATTGCGAGTCAATTACGCCGAGTGGTAAGCCACTCGACGTCTCAGTGTCACGCGTTCATGCTTATATATATATATATATATCTTTCTTGTTTATAATTTCTCTGATCATAATTAAATTATGACATCGTATGCATTCACATTACCGTTAACTTGATGGTACATATACATAATTTTTTATAATTTGACGTTAGCCGCTCTCGCCATAGACCAAAGAAGGTTTACAATACGAGTTTTATAATATGGACATCAACGTATATCATGACTGCCTACTGACACCGTAGAGGAGTATTATGTGACATTTGTGGCGTTTGTATGTAAGATGAGATCCTTTAACAATTCGGTCTATTATATTAAACTTACGTAATTTTTTTGAGTTGCTAAAGACAGCTAAATTAAGTCTGAAACGTGCGTGCTGTATACATGTATACCTCTATCTCATAAGGAATGGAATAATAGAATAAATTAATTAATTATTACCTTGTATGCTCATTTAAATCTGTCGACCTTGTATTCTAATAATAAATTGTTTAATGAAAAAGATTTACAATGATTTACCATTATTGCTTGCAAGGGAAGATCTTAAGTGAATCAGTCTATTCATTGGTAATTCGCTTAAACTGCGAATCTCATTCAGATATAAAGATGATTGATCTCCAGATGCCATTTTCAAAATGTAATATGTATGAAGTATTAACAAACCGCAATACATAGCTGAATATTCAAAAATTTGTGATTATTAAGATATAAATATTAAAATATAAGTATTTGCTCTCTCTCTCTCTCTCTCTCTCTCT